CCAGCTCTACCTTTATGGTAAGGTGACAGTAACAGAATCTTGAAAGTATTTCTCCCCTCCTTTCCTTTTACTCTCCAGAAAACCAGGGAGGGCCCCTTCTGAAATGCTTCCCACGCCCTCCCTCCTTCTGTGGGCTGAGACATCTTTCACACACCAGTTGTCCCGTCTGCGGCTCTCCCTCCTGTCTCCCCAGGTCATCCCCAAAGACCGTTACAGAAAATGAGAAACTCTATCCAAAGAGATCCATTAGAAAATTCCAAACTGTGTATCAGAAATTGAATGCAGACAGTCCAGATGGTGTAAGATTCATTCTTTCGCTTGAGGGTGTAGTCTTTCGTACCCTTTTCTTTTTCCAAAGATCAGCTTGTTCTTGCAACTCTTAATAAAAAGCCTGAGATGATCTGATGGAAGCTTCTGTTCCTCCACAATTCAGCCTGAAGGTTTAGACCGGACAGGATGAAGTTGGAGCTCACACGAGTTCACAGGTCAGCGTGTCCTTTACTTTGCATATTGTGGTGTGAGCCGTAGCTTTAATCCAGGCTACTGCATGTAAGTCAAATAAATCCAGCTGAACCATATCGATTCCTTTTAGGCAAAGAGCTTAAATGGAGAAACTTCAGGAGGTTTTCATCAGCCTGCAGAGGCATTTTAGAAGCAGAAACTGACTTTGATTTTAGCTGTGCTGTGGATACAACCATGATAGCCAAATGTTGTTTGCTTCTCGACATCCTGAGACAAGGATTCTTAACCAGTATCTGCTTTGCTGGCTTGAGTCCTTCCTTATACTAAGCAATGCTTTAACCAGGTTTATTGAATTGGTTGGTTAAATATAACCCTGAGATATAAAATGTGGTTTGCAAATGCAGTAATTGGATTGCCCAAGCCATTACACCAGAATCAGCCACTTTATGGTTTGATGCAAAATGTGAACCAATCTTCAAATGGGATGTGGGGCTCTCTTGACTTCTGTTGATTTGAATATTAGCCTTCTGAGAAGGTCATTGCGAGCCCTTTCTGTTTAGAAAGGCCTTTTACCAAGAGTGTTTTATTCCTTGATGGAGTACCAATTTGTGGTGTCATATATTCATTACAAAAACCCTACAAATGTGCCAAATTTTTTTTTTTTAAAGGTCTTTAGAAAAAACCACAGGGAACAATCTTTAACCAGGTTCACTTGTCATCTAAGCTGTGGTATAATCTGTGTGTGTTTTGGCTTACTGTATGATTTCAGCCGTTCTGTAGTCCAAGGATAAGAAAAAGCGTAGTGTGAAGCGTGCAGCTGGTCTCGATGGACTTTGCAAGAGAAAAGTGTCTCAGACCACAATTGCTACTGAAGAACCCCTGTCGTAGGGAGGCTGAACTAGCATCCTCTAACTCTAGTTCCATCAAACCATCCTATGATCTGGAACTGTTTCCCAGGAATTATGATGACCCAAACTGTTTACAGCTGTGGGACGCCTGGGCTGGGGAAAAACACACTTGGCACCAGTCAAGATGCTTTGGGGCAACTGATCTTTAAAGGGATTTATCTGAAGTGGTACAAAGATGGGTCTGTAGTAGCTGGAGTTTCTGAAGGCCCTGATACCAGTGAAATTCTCTGCCCCAGTTGCCACTGGAAATCCCAACCGTTAAGTCCCATCCTTAAGCGTATTGGCCCTTTCAAGTGCCCAGGATTCCTTTAATACTTGCAATTTCATTTATGCAAAAATTGCATGGAATTTGGCAGGCATCTGCCTCTTCCTTCATCCTTCCCCCTCCTAATTTTGTGGAAGGAGACACAGTCTTCCTACAGTATGTCCCTGGAGCCGGAGAGCTCTGCTCTTCGTAACTCCATCCTTAGCTGCTTCAGTGCTCAGTGTGAGGAGTAGCATTTCGAGGCTGATAGTAAGACGTATAAATCTGCCCTTCTGTCATTTGCAACCTTTCTTGCTGCCAAAATCTGGAATGTGTGACTCATTCTTGGAGAAAAACAAAGCAAGGCTCTTGTCAACTTTTTGCACCAAAAAGATAAACAAGGGTTGATTGCCAAAAGGCAGTTCTGAATCTCTTCATTTCTGACAGACTAGTCCTTATTGAACACAAGGTGAAGTTGACTGGGAAAGAGCAAGGAGAGAGTTGTTGTTTTTTAAAGCAAAAATAGAAGTCCCCAGATTAAGGAATATGTACCAAGAGGCAAATAGGAACAGTTGGGTAGAAAAGGTCTGGAAATCCTTAAAGGAAAGAAAATGTTTCTGTGCAGTTATTATCCATAGATCTTAACTTAAAACTTAGAATCAGGGGACATGGGTGTTTTCCAGATCTTAAAAAGGTAGGCCTGTCCCTCGATGATTCCATGTTTCAGGAATTGGAGAAGCAAGATCTCCAAGAATGCAGCAGGCATTGTGCTTCTCCTGAAGTTCTTGCTTGGGTCGCCGGTGTGCATCAAGTGAACTCAAGATCTTGGGAGGTGGGGTGGTGGTCCAGTGGGGTCCTTTGGACAACAGTTCCCCACCTGCTTGGGATAAAGGAGCAGGAAGGACCTCCAATGCTGCATTGGGCAAAACAAGGGCCAATTCAGGAATGAGAATCTTCGATGCCTTCAATCTCACCATGAATGTTTTCAACCTCTGGGTGCCTCCCTGATTTCTTCAGCAGCAGCATCTCAAATGAGCAAACCTGCCAAACCTGAACACTTTAAGACATCATTCTTTTGTGCAGTGAAAAAGAACCCTTTAGGACATGTAGATCTTCCTCCCTGGCAAGCCACCATCAACTTGGTCTATTGCCTCGGTCAGTCTTGGCCAAAGATTGAGGAGGAGGTTCTGCTGGCAAAGATTGAAGAGGAGGTTCTGCAAGCAAAAGCCAGGGAGGTACGTTGTGGTGAGTGAATGTAGACAAATCAAATATGGATTTTTTTAAAAGGAAGAAGAAGCAAGGGGGGAGATTTATAGCAGCAGAAGGCCAGGGTTAACCATGTTGTTTTCTTGCATCTGTTGGAATGCAAAAATGAATGGAGGTTTTTGCTGGAATAGGCCCTTGTTTGCACTCGATGTTTTCTGCCATGGAAATCAAGGAGGGGTCGTGAAACAGCAACCGAGCCAGCATGACGTAAGGAGGCGTTGAGCTAGACCAACAGTCTATGTGGGATGAGAGCTATGAAAACAAGCTGGACGGGTGTTAACCCCATCTATCCCCAAATATCCCCTGGGATTTTTTCCCCCTTCTCCCCCCCTAGGCCTACTGGCTTAGAGAAAAATGAAAAGGGGGTTGTGAAATGACTAACCAAGGCAACCTTTGAGGAATCTGGAAAAGTAATAAGAAGTAGAACTTATAAATGAAATATTTATAGCCCCCAATTTATTCTGGTAGGCATACTAACACAGGAGGTGTTATTCACATGTCAAGAGATGACTCCAGAGTTTTGTGGAGGTCTGCTTGCTCAATGGTCTTTGGTAGCTAGTGGCTACTGGACATTATCTCATCTACAGAGACAAGACTCTAGGACAGTGTTTCTTGGCCATAGCAACTTTAAGCTTGTATGATGCTATTTCTCAGCCGTGAAAAACACAACCACCTCTTGAAATTTGGGACTTCTATTTTCACTGTAACACAGAGGATAACAAGCATGAGAATGCTAAATATTTCCATATTTTCCTTTTTGGAATTAGAGTTCAATACCAAAATCAGAGTTGGTATTGAACTCGTGCTGGCTGGGGAATTCTGGGAGTTGAAGTCCACACATCTTAAAGTTGCCAAGG